AATCCTCCAGTCTCTGCCTCCTTAGTAGCTGCAATTACAGGCATAATCTTATAGATTTTTTTCTGTTTTGGTCAATTTTGGGGCTTGAACTCTGAGCCTGAGTGCTGTTCCTGAGCTCTTCAGCTCAAGGTAAGTGCTCTACCATTGGAGCTACAGTGCTATTTCTGGCTTTCTGATGGTTAATTGGAGATAAGAGTCTCACGGACTTTCCTGCCTGGGCTAGCTTTGAACCGTGATCCTCAGAATTCAGCCTCCTGAGTAGCTACGATTAGAGGCGTGAGCCACCAGTGACTGGCTAATCTTACAGATTTTTAAATACTTGTTTCCTATCTGGTCTGAATCCTGGACCTCATAGGTAGCTGATGCTTTCAATGATAAAATATTTGAGTAGTTCTTTGATTGAATCAGATTTCTTCTCTTTAACCCCAGCCCAAAGAAAACAATATTTTAACTTTATTGTGTTAGGTCATTTTCTTCTATTTTCAGTTTATCCCCTCCTCTCTGACTCTGTCTCTGTCTTTGTCTCTCTCTATTTCTCATGCTCTTGGTCTCAGTCATTATTATTTGAAGAGAAGATATTTTTATGTGTTTGCAACAATTTTACTCATTTGTTATCATTTTATGAGTTAAATGATTAAAGTTATCTGGAAATATGTATTATTACACAGCAATTTTCTTTCCTAATTAACCATGAAATTTCCATCTTGGCCAAGAAATGTATTTTCAAACATCTATATTTCCTGACTTTTTATTTCATTTTTACATTCTCAGTATCTGTATAGTATACATAGAGTATTCATGAGTCTGAAATTTTCTAATTGATTTGTAACTACACAGGTGCTGGGTAGTAGACTGCACATACGTTCTTAAACAGATCACTATGAATATGCCAGCTTTGCTTGGACTTCGTGCCATTCAAAGAAATGCCCCTTATTTTTAAATGGCTTTTCCTCCATTTTCTTAAATATTTTTAAAACAAAGAAGCAAGCATAAGAAACGGAAGAACAAATAAGGTTTATACAAATATATTTAACAAGTTTGTTATGGAATAAATTAATATAGTTTCCAATATAATCAAGTAGCGGTTAAAAATAAGCAATATTGTTTAGCATTCAGTGTAAATGTGGCATTTGCAGTCAGTTACCAGTTTCAAGCAGTCTGGTTCTGTTGTTGCCTCCTAAAAAAAGACTGTCTGTGATTCTCTCTTTCTGTTCATTTTTCCCCCCTCTTAATTGCCATTTTTCCCAGACCAGCTGTAGCATCTATGTCCTGACTTTGATCCAACTACTTACTTTAACCCACAGAAAATATCTCCCATAGACACTGTATATCACGGCAATTCCTCTATTCTTGACAAGCTTGCTGTTTTAACACAATAGAATGCAAGAAGAGCTGCATGAAGTGAAGTGCCCACATGCTGAGAAAAAGAAAATTAAGACCTCTGCTTAGTAAATATTGGCACAAAAATGACCTTCTTTGTTTTACCTAAGGTAATACTGTGAGTTTGTGAGATTGAAATTTCAGCAGAGGTCAACGAATCAAATGTTACCTTCTTTGCCTTTATTGCATTCAAACATTCTCATATTTTTACAGTGACTTAGTAGTCACTTAGCCTTAGGTAAAGCAATGAGAGAGGGTCTTTGAGGTCCTAAGGCATAGGATGCTGAAATGCTGTCCATGTGATTTTAAAAAAAACAAAACACTTCATCCAAATGGGATAAGAGAATAAAAGTGAATTTGTGCATTTGGGAAATTGGGAGCTAAGTTAGATATTCTAAATATCACATATGTATATATGGTTCTGGGGTTTAAAAATCAGGCTTTCACACCATTTATGTGGATTTCAAAGCCATACTTTTTGTTGGTGATTTTTTGAGATAGTGTCTAGCTTTCAGTCCAGGCATGAGTCTGTACTAAAGTCACCTGTTTTATATTTCTGTCATATTTGGGACCACAGGCATATGCTATAAGTTTACAGATCCCTTCCATTGAGTTGGAATCTCTTGGGCTTTTCACCTGGTCTGATCAGGAGCCATGGTCCTCTTGGTTATAGACTGAGAAACAATCTTAAAATCTTGAATGCCCAGGCTGGCTTGGAAAGATCTCTCCTCATTCTGAGCCTTTCAAATAGCTACGATTCCAGACATGAGTTACTGTCATCCAGCTTAAGTATAATATTCCTGACATATTATAGTGAATGTGACTCAATCATATTAGATTGAATCTACTGAGCCATATTCAGTTCAAAAGGATTTGTATCAAACTGCTCTTCCAAGCTAAAACTCCACTACTTGTCTTAGGTGTATGAGGACAGCAGACATGAGTTGGTAGATCTGCCTATTTTCCAAGTAATTACCTTCCTTAGAGGAGCTGACTGCATCTTCCCCATAGTTGTATGTATGGAGGAGCTCAATGAATGCACTAAAATCTAACATCTTAACTGTATTACTGAATAGGTGACATTAGGGAAGGAACAAATGGTCATGTCTAGATATGTGCAAGATCTAATGCTATTTAAAGTTGCAGCCAACTCTTAGAAATTTACATGGACTTGTCATCCATTGTAAATACAACTTGGACATCCTCATGCTAGAGTCAAGGTGCAGTAACACAAAAGTTTTCTGTTTTAAATCTCTTCCTGGTATGGTCCATTCAGATCTCCACCTTCCTACTGGAACTCTCCCTTTGGGAGAGTTACCCACATCTGAATCATCTAATCCCCTGATCCAAGTACCCTGCACAGGCTGCGAATATAGATATGTCATCGTGATCATCTCTTAGTCACTGTGTAACCTCCAGAAATGCATGCCTACTTGCTTTCACTTTATCAATTAAATATCACCGAAAAAGACATATTTAAATAAGGCCTACACCTAATAAAATCCCTGGTCTATGGTCACCTTTCTTTGTCTCTCTGCTTGATCTCTGTCCTTCATGCATGCATGTGTGTGTGTGTGTGTGTGTGTGTGTGTGTGTCTTCTAGACATACAATGCCCCATGACCTCCATAGAATTTGAATGTGACAAAATCTGCATTTGAATTTGTTGTCCTTCCTAATAACTGAATATGTTCTTCACATTAAAGATTAGTTTAAAAAAGTTTCTAATGACTACATTTCATATATATATATATATATATATATATAAAATATGAACAATAAGAATGTATATTGGGGGGATTAAGATGCATCTCAGTGATGAAGTGCTTGTCTAGTGTAGAGAAGGCCCTGGCTTCAACAATCAGCACCACCTAAAATTATAATATATAATGGAAAGCAATATGTCTATGAGCTTATGGAAGTCATTCAGTTGGAAGTATGTTTTATGGATTCTAATCTAAATCTTTACTATTCTTTGTTTTTCTTTCATGTTTAGAATTTAATACAAAGCAGACCAAAAATTATCAGATGGAAAGAAACAATAAATAATAGGATAGAAACTACTGAAATAGAGACTAAAAGATTATAGAAATAAAAAAAAGTCATTCTTTGAAAGAGACTCATTAGTAAAAGTATAGATAAAATGGGAATATTACAAAAATATGAATGAAATTAAAAGAATTTTGCGGAAATATCTTGAAAGGCTATACTCAAATAAAATGGAAAAACTGGCCAGAAAAGTAAATTTCTAGATACTGCTGACCTACCAAATTTAAACAAAGAGGATATGAATGACTTAAATAGATTTGTAAGAAGCAATGGGACTGAAGCAGTAGTTAAGAATTTTCCAACAAATAATTGCCCACAAGATTAATTGACTGCCCAAGTTATAAGAGCTTTATAAAAATCTAATCCCTAAAATCCTACCTAAACTCTTCCATAAAATAGAACTGAATTCATTATAAGAACTAACCATTACATTCATTCCCAAACTGGAAAGACACATACACACATGCACAAAGAATATGATCTGCTATGGTACTAAGGATCTTACTCAGTCTTAAAAGCTTTCATATGAAATCTTTAGAGTCTTTTAAGTATAATATTATATAATTTACATAAAGGGATAGTTTAACTTCTCTATTTGAAGAATTTTTTATTTCTTTCCCTTGTCTTATTGTTGTGGCTGGAAAATCTAGCAGCATAATGAAAAAGAGAGGAGAGGGTGTACACCATTGTCTTGGTCCTGCTTTTTTCCATATTCAGTATAATGATGGGGATAAGCTTGACATATCAGTCTTGATTATGACAAAGTCTGTTGACTTTTGTCAAAGGCCTTTTGTGTATCACTGTGATAATCATATAATTCTTGTTCTTGATTCTGTTTATAGGGTGTATTACATTTATTGATTTATTAGTGTAGGACCAGCTTTGTTACCTGGAATAAAAACAATTTAAATTTATTAAATAGTAAAAGTTGAAATAAGTAAATTCTACCTGATATGTAATATGAAAACTGCAGATTATTGTAAAAATCATGGAAGGATAATAGAGAATGGCTGACCTATGTAAGGGTAATAGTGAGAGCTAAGAGTAGGTGAGCATTCTGTACTTTCTGAGGGCAAAGAACTGTTCATTAGAAGTCTATTACATATGAAACTAATTTACAGGAACAACGAAAATTGAAAACATTTTTTTCTCAAAGATTAATAGAACTTATATCTGAAATATCATCACTAAAATAAGTTTTTAATCAGTTTCATTCACAAATAGGATTCCAAATTGTGAGGAGATAATGTGAGTAAAGGTGGCAGTATATGTATGTATGCATTAGTGAAAAAAGAGGCCAAACATGCTATGTTGAAACAGGGCACAGAAGACAGGAGAATGCTTGATGCTAAAGCATTTCAAGTTTCTGTACCTGGTCTGGTGAAAAGTTAACAAAATAAGTTAATTTTGTATGGATGTAGGGTAAAGAGGACATGGCAGAAAGACAGAGAATCTGTTTCAGCACGGTGGAAGGAAAGACACAAACAGATCCATACATATAACTGAATAAATAATAATAATAAATAAATAATAATAACAACAAAATTAAAAGAACTAAAAGAGGTGAGAATTATAAAGGAAGGGCAAATTGTATTTATTTGTAGACAACTATTTCCTGCACCAAGACTCTTCAATTAAATGACTAATATTAAAGAGATGTTTGACTATTAAAATATCAAAATGTTTCTGCTAATTGCATGTCTACAAAATGCAAGCTATCTGGTAAAATTTACATTTTATGTGAAAGACAAAGTGTGGAATACAATGGAATTATAAATTGCTTAAAAGTATGTTAAGCTATAAATGTTCTATGTCTTAATGGGGAAAATAGAACTTTTTGAGAAACATTAAAGAAATCATGAATAATTGGAGATAAATGTTATGGTCTTTACTAGGAAGAATAAACATTGAAATGAGTCAATTCTTATAGAACAGAACTAAAATTTAATTGCAATTCAATTGAAATCCCAGCAGGAGATTTTATGGAGCACAATAAATTTATTCTAAATTTATTTAGATGCATTCTAAATTTATAACTAAAAGTAAAGATGCCAAGGATAGCCAAAGTACTCTTTACAAAAAGAAGCTGAAATATAAAAATCTTAACGCATGCCAGGTGCTAGGTTCTGCTATGTTGAAGTAATTAAGGTAGTGTGGAGTTGATAAGAAGCAAGAAAATTAGCAAATTGTAAAGTACAGAGAGCCCAGAAAGAAATTGCTCTCTCTTAATTTCCATGTGTCTATGCTTCTCTATCTCTTTCTCTTTCTCTCTCCATATATACATATATATGTATATGTATGTATTTCAACCAATATTTATTGACTAAGGTAAAATAGTGTAATAATTGTCAAAATAATAGCAAAATATTCATAAAACTGATATCACTAAACATACCCATATATACCTATGTATACCTTTATGTAGCTATATAGATAGATATATAATAAAATCAATTTCCAAATACTACTCTTCCATTGTGAGAAATAGCACTGTAAGGGAAGCATCAATGGCAGCATAACTGGCTCTCTATTGAAAAATGGAGAAATATATTCTCTTAAGAGATGTTGATATATAGAAATATGGAATTACTTGGAACATGCATATATCAGAGAGTATAATTCTTAAACATATTTCTTGGTGAACTAAAAGTGAAATATTTTCCACTACTAATGTGAGAAATCCATATAAGAAGTGATTAGACGAATTATGAAATAATCCAATTGAAAACATTTCAGTGATGATGAAAAAATGAGCCCTATTTGAGACTCTGAAATTCATGGCTGTATCATGTGGACTCTGTTCCTTCAAATCCCAAGAACCTGGACATCCATGTGCATTCCTTTTGGATAAAAAAAGAAATCAGATTTTTCTCTAAAATATATGATTTATTGACAGTTTTATAAATCAATTTTGCAATCCTATTAACAATTAAATTTGAATTATAGTAAATAACCACTAGGCTTTTTGTGATAGTTTCTCAAGTTGCTGTAAAAAGCATTGCTAGTTCTTTGTTTTTGCAGGGTGAATTATAGAAGTGAGCAGGTGGACAAACTTATAAACATCATGAAAAGAATTATATAGAGGAACAGGAGCCACTCGAATGCCATTTGGTTCCCTCTTGTCACACTGTAAACAAAAGAAAGAAAGAAAAAAAATCCACAATGTTAATATTTCCATATACTGAAAATCTGCATTCAACATAAACTTCTACAAAACACTCATAGTGATTTCTCTAAAATTATTCCATAAGCAATTTTGTTAATTTAAATTGTGTTTTTTAATTTGAAAATTAAAATAATAATGAGTTGGAATATGAACAGAATTTTCCTTAAATCCATTCAAGAATTTTCTTCTTCAAGCATTGGTTAGATCGCTGTATACAGTAACTGTGAGGGAATATTCTGGAACAGTGGGAGCCATTGCACAAATTTTAATGACTGAGAATTTTATTGAGATCTAGAGAACTTTAGCAAATTAACCTTAAATATAATATTCTAATTCTTGATCTTACAGATAACGAGTTAGCTTAGTTCTTTAGAACAGCTGACAGTTTATTGAATAGGGTCAAAAAAACATTGACTTGACTAAAAGTTCTTCATGACCAACTTTAAAAATCATCTAATTGAAGCCAGATAATACAATTTATGTATGAGATGCACTTCTAAATCCCCATAACAACTCTTCAAGTATTTTGAAATCTCAAAATGTAAATGAGAAACATTAAGCTTCTAAGGCTGAGTGAATTTTTCCATGCCCCCCAAAAGGGTGGAATACATAGTGCTGGAACTACTGTTTATTTATACCTTCAATATCTGAGTAACCCCTCCTGAAGATTTGAGGTCCATGAGAGTACACAAATATCTGAATTTCATGATTAGAAATTCATATCCTATCAATATTTGTCCTGGAAATTTTAGCTCTAGGATATATAAATCCAAAGGTTAAAAAAAAAAATCTGGGGCCACAGAGAGTCCGGGACGAAGGAGCCAGACGCAGGGGGTGAGTGGATTCTACTCAACACCAGCAAGAGCCTACAAGGAGCGGACATCTACATCCTGCAGTTTGCAGACCAGAGACGACCCAGGAACCAAGACTCGGTGTGAGTAGAAGCCTGATGTCCTCACTCCTTCTCAGGGAGCAAAGGAGGGAAGGCCACCCCTCCCTACCCCCAGTACTGGAGATCTCCATCTTGGATACCGTCAAAGCTCGGAGGAGATGCTAGCTCCAACTCAGGCCTTGGAATAAAACGAGTCATTTAGCAGGTCACAAGAACTTAATGGCGAAGTGACCTGTCAGACTCAGCTCCATCCAGGGAAAAGTCACCCAGCTCAGGTGCCAGCCATAGGAGTGGCTTTCCCCACTGGGTAACCAGAGCCAGAGGCTGCCCCTCCCTCTAGCAGCCTCCACAATCAATTGAAAAACAGAAACCCTGAGAATGGCTCCAGGCTGGGCTCTGTGAGTTTTTCACAAACTAGCCCCCGGGAAAAGCTACTGTGTGTTGAAAGGCCTCAACTCTACCCAGAACCTAGCCTCATCACGGCATCCCCCTCCTTTGTGATTCTCAAAGCAGATCTGCCTCCCATTAAACTAACCTGGGAGGGGGATCTCAAAATCTTGGGTAAAGCAGAGCATTCTTCTGCCTGTTCAAACAAACTGACTTAAGAAACCAATCAAGCCACAGGACCTCAAGCAGACCAGAGACTCCAACAAGAGGCTGGTTACAGACACAAGGAAGATACAGGATTCTTCCTACCCCTCCCAAAAAAATAAAAAAAAAAAATCAAAGAACTTTTTTTGTTTTTTTTTTTGGTACCTTACATATATATATTATATATATAATTTTTTTTCCTTTCTAAAACTTTTATTAATCTTTAATTTTTGCCTTTTTTGAAAAAAAAATTGTTTTCCAGTAACTTTTTTTTTCCTCTTATAATTTTTATTTTAGGAATACGTGAATGTGCGTTTTCCTTTCTTTTCTTGTCTTCTTTCTCTTTTTCTTTCTTTTTTAATTATCTTTTTGTTTTTTGTTTAGCTCTACTGAACTTCTGATCTTTTTTCTCCCTTTCTTATCCTTTTCACCTTTTCCTCTCTTTTGTTCTTCTTTATGTGACTTAACTCTTGTCCTGCACATCCTCAGATAAACCCGTAGTTAACTAGTAGACCCTATCCCCCATTGTGTACACACTTAATCCACAAATTTATTACTCAATTCAAAACCTCTGAGACTTAAATTCCTTAATAGCAGTACTACCTCTTTATACCTATATAATATTTTAAGTTTTTCACATCTCCTCTATGTCCCTCCCCTTCTCTCAATATATTCACATTTCTCTCTAAATAGATTGTCTTTTAATCTCCATAATAATATTAATTTTTACGTTTCTATTTTTTTCTGGTCTCTTTTCATTTCCCTTTCCCTTTCTTCTTTTTCTCTCCCTCTCTACTTGCATCCTACCCAACCTATTTCCTACATTGAGATTAGGACATAGTTAACTCTCCCTGTGCCTCCCCACACCAATCTATTCCTATTTTTACCCACATCTCTCCCTAACCCTAATAATTTCTGGTTTTCCAAATTCTTCTCTGCGGTTCGAAGCCCATTAACATATAGTTGTTTGATGTTGAATAGATGTATCTGTTGAACTAGATTGTATCTGTAGACTATTGACTGTACAAATGCAAACTTTGGTTGATGGTTGCCTTAAGATAGTGTTCTAGCACAAAACTGGTGCTATTTTCATCTCAAATGGGCAGAGTAAGCCGGAAAAACACAAGAAAAATGGCAAATTCGGGTATCTCAATTCCCAATCTTGATAATCAGGGGACAGAACAGATAACGAATAATCCAGAGGAGAGTTCCCAAATAGCTCTACAAACACTGCTGGCAAACATGATAAATGAAAAGTTTGACAACTTACAAAAGACTCTATGAGCGTGATAGTGAGAGAGAGGAGGCATCCCAAAAGTTTATACAGGAATATCATAAGCGTGAGGAAGCTACTCAAAAACTGATACAGGATTTGCGTGAGCAACTTAAGAACACTCAAAAAGAAAGGGAGGAATAGCATGAGCAGGCTGAGAACACTCAAAGAGAACTGCAGGAATCCCACGAACGGGAAGAAGCTGATCAAAGAGTAATACAGGAATTGAGAGAGCAGATAGAGAATACACAAAGATCACTAAAGACATTCATGGAATCCATTAACAAAGAGCTGAAGGAAGTCAGGGAGACCACAAAGGGAATGCTGAATGGAACCCAACAGAAGGAATGGGAGTCCAAAGAAACCATAACCAATCAACTAAGTGATTTGAGGACAAACACTGAACACCAAATTAAAGAAGTAAAGAAATTCATACAAGACCTAAAACAGAGCTTCAACAAAGAATTTGAAGCCATCAAAGCCGAACAAATGGAAGGAAAAGAGATAAAAAACAAAGTAGAGAGTCTTGACAGCAGGTTAGACCATGCAGAAGATCGAAACTCAGGGATTGAAGACAGCATAGATATTATAGAGAAAGAACATACAACCATCCAAGACAAGTCTAAGAAATATGATAGATCTATCCAACATCTGGAAGACACAATCAGAAGGCCTAATCTAAGGATAATGGGTGTAGAGGAGCACTTAGAAACAGAAGTAAATGGTCTAGGAAATTTGTTTAACAGGATTCTAGCAGAGAACTTCCCAAACATACAAAAAGATAGGCCTATTCAGATACAAGAAGCTTTTAGAACCCCAAATAGACCAGACCAGAATAGGACAGCCCACCATCACATTATAATCCACACAGGATCAACTCAGACCAAGGTGAAGATCCTTAAAACTGTCAAGGAGAAAAGGGTAATCACCTATAAAGGGAAACCAATTAGAATCACCTCAGATTTCTCAGCAGAGACAATCAAAGCAAGAAGAGCCTGGAATGATGTATGCCATGCCCTAAAAACAAACAACTATCAACCAAGAATACTGTACCCAGCTAAACTCTCCTTCATAATTGAAGGCCAAATAAAAACCTTCCATAGCAAAGAAAAATTGAAACAATACATCTCCACCAAACCAGCCCTACAAAAGATTCTTAAAGATGTCCTACACATAGAAAACCAACAAGACCACAATAAAGGCCAAGAAACTGCACCCAAACTGAGAATCCAAGAACCATAGGAAGAACCCAGTTTTCGCAGCCCCCAAGAAGGTGGATAACATGGCAGGAACTCCCAAATACCTCTCAGTCCTATCTCTTAACGTTAACAGACTGAACTCGCCAATTAAGCGACATAGACTGTCTAGTTGGATTAAAAAACAAGACCCTTCTATCTGCTGCCTGCAGGAGTCACATCTTGCCCGTAAAAACAAACACATTTTCAATGTTAAAGGTTAAAACAAAATCTACCAAGCAAATGGCCCCCATAAACAGGCGGGAGTTGCAATCCTAATATCAGATAAAATAGACTTCAAGTTAAAATTCGTGAGAAGAGATAAAGAAGGTCGCTACATACTAATTAAAGGATCTCTCCTTCAGGAGGATATTACAATTCTAAATATCTATTCGCCAAACAATGGAGCACCCAAATTTATCAAAGAAACACTACTTTCCCTCAAATCCCATATAGATCCAAAGACATTAATTGTTGGGGATTTTAACACACCACTCTCCCCACTAGATAGATCAACTCGGCAAAAACTCAACAGAAAAACCGCAGATCTAAACAGCTGCATAGATCAACTAGACTTAACAGACATTTACCGAACATTTCACCCAGCAGCATCAGAATACACATTTTTCTCAGCAGCACATGGAACGCTTTCTAAAATAGACCACATTCTACGCCACAAAGCAAACTTGTCTAAATTCAGAAACATTGAAGTTATACCTTGCATTCTCTCTGACCACAAGGGAATAAAATTAGAACTCAACACCAAAAGCCACCAAAGAAAATCCGGTATCACATGGAGGCTGAACAACACACTGCTGAATCATGAGTGGGTCATGGAAGAGATTAGAAAGGAAATTCAAATGTTCATGCTATTCAACAAAAATGAACACTCAAATTACCAGCTCCTCTGGGACACAGCAAAGGCAGTACTCAGAGGCAAGTTTATAGCTCTGAGCTCCTACATCAACAA